CTTAGGTCAGGAGCTATTGACATTTTATGAAAAAGAGATAAATCGCTTATATCTCACAAACCATCCAGTAAAAGAGGCTAGCTATCATGGTTCTTGAGTTACAGGGAGCCCGCTACTTTTGACGAGTACTGTAGCGTATATCGCATCTTCTTCTTTTATTTTATCTTCTTGATCTATTTAGTCATCAATATAGCAAAACTTCATTGTTCTAAACAGTTAACCACATGTAGTGCATGTAGAAGAAAAAAAAGAACGAAAGTAGAAAAATTCCTAGTGCTTTCATTTCCCATGGTATTGTTTAGACGTTATTTGGGACATATGTGTCCCTGTGGTAGTGAAAGGGTTAAGTGTGAAAGGGTGTTATTAATAAATTCCTAATTTCTCGGTCATTTTTCAAAAGATAACAGGAAATTTTAGATTCCATGATAGGAGACAATTCTCTATTCAACCATGTAACGAAGTTTTAAAAAACCGTAATTACAGTGCCAAAAGAAAGAGGTACATACCACTCACGCATAGTCTCAAATATACCAGTCAATGTGAGAAGATTGAACTTTTTTCAAAAGATGATCCTCTGGTGATCAGGGATCGAATGATGCTAGTTTTATTGAAAAGAGGACAAATTTGCATTGCGAATCGATAGAGTAAATCATTTCTTACAAAATGAGACGTTGCTGAACTCTCTGCGATGTATTGTCCTTGATATAACCTTTTCCAACCGGATGTTGCCATATGGTAGTATTTGTTGCTGTATTTTATCAATAGCTGGGGGAGGGGGGGATTAAAAAAAGCTTATTCTGAGAGCTAAATGGAAATGCAAATTTGTTTTCTTTTCAATAAAACTAACATCATTCGATCTCTGAGCACCAGAGGATCATTTTTTGAAAAAAAGCTCAATCCTCTCACATTGACTGGTATATTTGAGACCATGCAAGAGTCGTATGTACCTCTTTCTTTTGGCATTATCTTTTTTATGCTCTTAACACATGCATTAGATATGTACATTTTCACGGATAAGGAGAAAAGAGAACGAGATGAGAGAAGAATGACATCTTCTACACACGCATAATATATATATGGGTAATTCCAGCGTGACGGACATGACAGTCGCACGCCTTTCAGTTGCCATAGCGTCTGAGCTTTGAGTCGCACACTGTTGTTATTCATAGCAACTATAATTGACCACTAGTAGATAATATGGTAAAGGTATGAGCATCGCACGTGCTTAGGAACAGATATAATTATTAAAAATAAGACCGGGACGAACATGACATTAAAAAGCGCACGGCTTTCCAGAGATTGCTCATTTACTTAAAAAATCTGCAGGATTGCATATCATTTCTTTAAATAAAAAATAAGGCTTTATAGAGAAGAGTCAACTCTACAGTTTTGTTCCCGGCTATATGTTTGTATAATACATCGGCTTTACGCCAGAATTTATTATCTAATTAAACTTATTAGCTAATAAATTTTAATTTGTTGCGAGCTCAAAGAGCCAACATTTTTATATATATTCATGTAAATTAAATTATTAATTATTAATATATTCATGCAACATTTTTACATATATTCATGAGCTTGTTCAGAAAAATAACTCTTGTAAAAAATCAAAGTCAAATAAAAGATAGTCATGTCCTATTTTGGCTGAAGCGGCCCATATATATATGTTAAGTCCAGGCATGGGCGAGTCCGAAGGGCACCGAGTCATGGTCAAGTCCGAGTCCCAAGTCTATTTCGAGTCCGATAATCTTTTAGATTCTTTTTTGATGAGTGTGATTTATTTCACTTTTTTAATTTACCAAGCCCTGGATAGATATTTGATTTTTCGAAATAAGATTACTTTGCATGTCCGTCAAACAGAAGGTTTTGTTATTTTGCTTTTCATTTTTCCCTGTTCATTTATGTTAAAAGTTGAATACATCGGACACGAAATACAAAAACTCAAGTTCGAGTGCGAGTTCTTTAAAAAAATCTCCAGTCCGAGTCCAAGTCCGTCAAAAAATCTTCCAGTCCGGACTTGCCCATGCCCGGTTGAGTCATGTCCAGACTACTGATCTTGATTAACCTTACAATCAATCAACGTTCCTTAAATCGGGTGATGGCTTTATAAGATGAAAAAAAAAGAAAAGAATGAATAATATGAGTGTTATTTGCACTAATAGTTCGGAATTTTTATCTTTTATATTTTTTCCAACTATAGACATTGCATTATTGACTCGATATAAACTCTACAAAATTTCCTTTTTTCATAGAATAGAAGAATGAATCAGCAGTGGAGAGGTACGTTTATAATAATTTGATGCGTAAAAATGCTTAAGTTCATATAAACTTGTTCATTGCAGAATCTTTATGCGGTTGTTTCGATGATATCGGAATCTGTTGTTATGGTTATTGGTGCCTTCCTTGCTTATACGGCGAAAATGCTTCGAAAATCGATAATAGTAGTTGCTGTGGGCAATGCTGTTTGTATACGTGTCTGTCACAATTTTCTCTCTGCTGTCTCGTACACATGGGTAAACGAGGAGCATTACGTCAGAAATATGGAATTATTGAAGACCCAAATGATTGTTTGGTAACATGTTGCTGTGGACCATGTGCAGTGTGTCAAGAAGCAAGAGAAATGAAAACACGAGGTAAGCATCTACTGATTATATGCATGTATGGCAGAACAAAGCGTGCTACTGCTATAGGTTTACAACCAATGGTATATCAACAACCGATTGCAGTTGCTCCTGGTGCCTATTATCATCAGTCGCAACCTTTACCACCGATTGTTACACAACCGCCTCCACCAACATACAATATTCCTCAAAAAATGTAGCATTCGTGATTTTAAGATTAACATTGTCGACGATTGACGAGTTTCTTAAAGCGCAAAAGACAGTTGCTTTGGCCTTATTAACCCTTTCAGGACCGGGTTAATTTTTATATAAAAAGTGCTGTTCAAAAGTTGAAGACCTTTTTTATTTTGCAATATCTCGGCTTCCCTGACAGATAGAGACTTCATCCTTTTGTCAAAAGAA